GCCTGCACTGCTGAAAGGTCCTGCCAGCCTGTCCTATTGGTCCTCAGCTCTGCCTTGTGCATTGTAGCAATACTGGCAACTTTTAAATTTCCATGTAACCCCTCAAAATGCTGATGTGGTTGTAGAATGCCAGGGTGTACCTGAGTATTGGTCCCTTTCCAGGGGGCAGTTTTCTATCCCCTCTTCCCCAGGTATGTAGCATTCTAGGGGACTGCAGTGACCCGTGGGACTGAGCACTTGGCTTAGTTGAACCTGGGTGTTTCTTGCTCCTTGTAGATTCCCATCTCGCAGCCCCTGGCAGAAAAAGGGGTTCCCTGCGGATAAAATCTCTTTTATCAAACCAGTGCTTGTGACTTGAGGGTGGTGCTGCTTCAGCTGGAGACCTGAGGTCTGTGTGTCACCCCCCCAGCCCCTTCCCTGCAGCCCTTGGAGCATCAGCCATTTTGGGGCCGCCGACCGAGCAAATGGTCGGAGGGCGCAGCGGGAGCGGCCACCAGGGGGCGGCAGCGGGAGGGGCAGGACCCGCATCCATCCCTTGCATGTGGCTGAACAAGGGGGTGTGGGGACTGCAGCGTCCTGCCCCCCCTGCCATACCTCACCTCATCTTTCAGGTGAGCCCGTCCCTGCCCCCTGGGCCCCAGCCTCTTTCACACTGGACGTGGTCCCACGCTGGGAGCCTGGTTCCCCGGCTGGAGGGCAGCCTGGTAGCCTGGGGAGGAGACAGTCCTGGATCCAGCTGGAGAGGGAAAGGGCAGGAGCAGCCACAGGTGGGTCAGCTCAGCATTTGTCTTTAGTCCCCCACCTGTGAAATTTTTGGAGCCACAGGTGAGATGGCCCCTGGTGGCAGGTGGCATGTCCTGCCAAGTCCAGCATGCCCTGGTTCCCTTTGCTGGCCTTTCCACTCCACATCACCACATGGAGCAACCGAGGTGGGTGCCAGCCCTGGAGACTCCCCAGTGCCTGAACAATTAAGTGACACTCACAGGCCCATCCATGGCATTCGTCCCCTTCTTCCCAGCCAGGTTCAAACCTGATGTGACCCACATCCCTGTGGATGTGGTGCTCTCTACTCTGAGGTTAGTGCTGACCTATGGTGTCTGTATCCCACTGCTCTGTCCTGGAGATGTCATCTTGTGGTGGTGCTGTGGTTGGGGGGGAAAAAAAAAATGCAGGGAGCAAGGTCCTGCCACAGAGAAAATGACAAGGGACAAAATTACAAGGGACAGGTAAGTGATCTTCAGCTTCAAGAGGGTTTTGCAAAACACATGTGTTTCCAAACCTGCTCAAGTGGCTCTTCCCAGGAGGGTGAGCAGCTCCTGATCTAAAGTTTAGCTGTTTTTGAAATGCAGCTGGAAGATTGCATGGGCAAGAGATTCTCTGCTGGCCCTTGTTAAATGGCACAGCAGGCTCCAGAGGGAAGCCATGCCAAGCTGGGACAGGGCAGCCACAGCCCTGAATACCTGCTCTAAGCAGAGGTTTTGCCACTGTAGCCCATTACCAGGTCTTGTTCCCAACCAGCCAGTCTGTCTTGACGAGCAGAAACCCCTACCAATGAGACAAGGTAAGTGCTTGAGGTTTTTTTTTTCTTCTCCTCCTTCTTTTAACCTTTATTTAGAAACTAGAATATTCATCAAATCTACAATGTTTCTCTGTACAGGTCCCACCAGGTGAAGAGCAACACTGAGAGGTTTCTGCAGGCAGCCTGGGCTGGCTGTGTGCAGTGCAAGGGAGAGCAGGACCTGTCCTTGCACGGAGGATAAACACAGACCAATGTCCTGTACCTGCCATAAGTTAGGGAGGTATCATGTTGGAAAGGATTTCTGAACTCACTCCTGTTGGAAGGAGGGAGGGGATGGGAAAGCAAAGGAGTGTTTGTGTGCTGCCCAAGCCCATCAGACACCTCAGGGCCCTGCCCCAGGGACACAGTGCTGGTGCTGCTGGGTGCACCAAGTCACATTTCACAGTATTGCTGCTGCAACAGCCTCTTCCTTTTCAAACTTGCAGCTCATCTGAGCAGACGAGGGGCAATTGCCGAGAAGTGGTGTGGTTTTTGGCTGGTTTATGCCCTTATTTTGGTTTGTTTTCTAACCTGGGGAACATACAGACTCAGAGTAAATTAAATGGGCAGATTTCCAAGACACATTAAGAAAAGGGAAGGGGAAAAAAAAAAAAAAAGGCACTGCACAGGGGGACCGTTGAGGTAGTCGAAATTTTTTTCCTTTCAATGTCTGGCACCAGAGAGAGAGAGAGAGAGAGTGCACACATGCCTTGTGTTTCACTGTGGTCGGGGCCATGTTGTGGCCACCCTCGTGGGGACATCTGGGCATGCAAAACCAGAGCAAGGGGACACCTGTATGTGCAGAGCCTGTGCCCAGGAGCTGCCACACCAGCACCAGTGCACACGTGTGGCTTTGCACATGCCTGTGGCTTTGCTCACGCTTGCAGTCTGTGGCTGGAGAGAGTCTGTGGCCCTGTGGTTCTCCACGTTGAGGGGTTTCTATCACAGCAGCTGGCTCAGGGTTCCCCCAACAGCTCCTGTGGCCCTTTCAGCCCAAAGAAAAAAGGGCCATGTCTCATGACTCCTTGTCGTGCTCCTTGGCCTCATGCTGTAGAATAAACACAACAACCCTGAGAGGAGCAGACGTGGTACAAAACACCAGCCCTCCTTCACCTCATCTCCTTGTGCTGCTCCATGTGCTGGGGTGGGACTGATGCTCTCCCACCTGCCCTGGAGCATCACACTTGCTGCAAAAGAGGGGCTGAGCCCAAAGCAGTCATGCACGGGGTCTTTGGTGGTTTGTTGTCCCCCTCTGAGGTTACCCCCACCATGGGCATCCCTGCTATAAGGAGAGGGTGTCCCTGCAATGAGTCCCAGGGCCACCTGCATCCAAGCTGGTGTCCTGGGTATGATCAGACCGTGGGCCAGTCCAGCTGGGGCCAACCAAGTTTCTTTGCTGCTTCCCTGGCCATGAGCAGCAGCAGCTGCCTCATCCCTTTCCTGCCAGAAGGAATAAGTCCCTGAGGAATTTCAGCTGGGTGCATTCCTCCAAATGCACGCACAGCGAGGCCAGAAGAGGGGCTGGGGAGCCAAGAACAGCCCGGGCTGTCCCTGGGAGCCACCATCATCTGGGACCGTCCCTCTGGGACAAAGACCCCGCCAGGTTCCCCCAACCACCTGGCTGAAATCCTGCAGCCCTAATGGGGGCTTGGAGCTGGTGAGGTCCAGCATCAGAGCAGAACCCCCTTTCCCCAGCTGTATAGTATGGACACAGAGAGGACTTGGGCGGGGGTGAACCCAGTGCACTCAGGGTCAATGTTACTAAAACCTTGCATGGAGGAGAAATTTGAGATAAATAAAATCCCCTTGACTTTTGAGTCGTGGAGGGGTACATGCACTTGTAAACCACTCAGGTCCCTTTGAAGGGACTTACCTGGCCAGCCAGACCCTCAATATCTCCAAAAAATGCCTGTGCCACATCCCTCCCTGCCTCCCACCCCACTGTTTATCACACTCCAGTGGAGGTGATACCTAAAGCACAAACCTCTCTGCCCGCTCTCACTCTCTCTCTCTGTCTCTCTCTCTCTCTTCATTTTATGCTAGATCTGTTGGTTGTTTTTTTTCTCTTTTCTTTTTCAGCAACCCCCAACCCAGCTGGAGATAAGTGAACCACATTACAGTACAGGAACAAACACTATCACAAACCCTGCCCGAGAGTGCAGTGTCTCTGCCCTCCTTGCCCTGGAGGGAGCACCCCCAAAGGACTTGTGTGCCACCAGCAGAGACTCACCCCACCCCAGGGCAGGGATTGGTCCCAGCCCTTCCAGTCCCAGCTCTCCAGAGAGACTGAGCTAAAGGACATTGAGTTTTCTTGAGCATGTTAAGTTACTATGGACCAAGTCCCACATTTGGAGCAGCTCTGGAGGCAGCAGTTTATGAACCACCAACATACTCCGGAAAAAACACGGCTCCTTGTTCATCTTGCTGTTCTTGTTCTTCACAATGCCAAAAGTTTTGAAGCCCTCGTGCCCAACAGGTGATACTTTAAGGACCTCCAAGCACATCCCTAGGAAGACATCATCAATGGGGTACAGCTCCAGCGTCTCCGAGGCCTTGTGCAACTTCTTGGCCAGGGGTCCATCCATGATGAAGCCTCCACCCCCTGCATAGGGCGGGTAGTTGTTTTTGTTGTAGAGGGCACTGGGGATGTAGTACTTGTTCTCCTTCTTCCGAATCGGCTTGGCCTTGTAGAGGACATCCCCCACAAAGAGGTCCTCTCC